CCCCCAAAACCCCAAAACCCCTCAGTAAGAAGTAGAACTTATATCTTAGCATTAAGAAAATAAAATTATACTTATGATAATGTGATCCCATCACTATTTCTTTTTAGCAGCTTTTTCTTTCTTTTCCTCTGCTAGTTACTTCTTTCTTTCCATCTCCTCTCTCTGGATTTTAATCTTCTTTCTCTGGTCCTCCATCTCTAAATTGACCATTTTGTTGAATTTTTCTTCATCATCTCCGCCGACACTACCGTTATCCATAAGATTGGCTCTCGAAATGTGCTCGCTTTTATCGTCTCCATCTTTATGAGTAGTTCCACTGATTGGTCTAACTCTTATGTTTTTGGTGAGGAATTCTTCGGTTGCAAAATCATTCATGAAATCTTTAGCTGTAATAAAACCAGTCTCCTGATCTTCCTATTCTTAGGCCTGAATTATATCTTCAAGCTATTAACAAACTATCTCAGTGATTTAGTTAAAAAGTGTCAAAATAGGCAACTTCTTCTACATAGGAGTGTTATCCTATCCAAGAATTTGGCTGTTCAATTTATTAATAACTCTGTTGCCCCATCCACCTACTTAGTCAGTAACTAAATAAATCTTTTTCTTTCTCTCTTCATTTTGCGATACCTCTCTTTCTAGAATTTCAATTTCTTTTTCAAGATCTATTATTTCTTAGGTTGCCATAGTACCAGTAGCTGGTTGACTCTTTGATCTGCCTTTACCTGGGTTGGCAATTTAGTTGAAATTGATTTAGAGCTAATGCAATTCCTCTCTTTTCAATTCATTTTCTCTTCTCAGGTTCTCAAGTCTCTTTTCATTCTCACTAACAGCCTTAAGCAATTAAGCGTAAGTCTATTCTTTAGTCATAAATTTCTGAACTATATCTTAAACATCAGTGCATCCAGTAGCTGTTCTTATCGCCTGAAATGCCTCTTCAATTTGATGAGATTTTTTCATCTCGTTGTTCATCTTCTTTTTGTAGAATTAGCTCCACATTCTTTGCATCATGAAATTTTCTCTCAACTTGATCTCATTTGAATCTTTATTTTCATTTGCTGCAGCCTCAGCAATCTCTGATTATCTTCTAACTCTATCCATTCTCTTCTACAAAGCTTCCTCCTTATTTCTAATAGATGTCTATAGTGATAATATTCTCTCCTATCTTTTCTTCTGTTCATGATCAATATTCTTCATCAAATTGTCAAGCCTGTATTTAGATTGTAGCTTATTTTCCTTGCTTTTCCTCTACTTATTCAGCTCATCATTGATAATGATTTTCTTTGATTTTAATGACTCAGTCAAATCGTTTGATGTTAGTTATAATGAGATCAGGTCTTTCTTCATTCTGTCAAGCATATGTTGATATTGACACTAGAAAAGCTGCTCGAATTCATGTGTTTAACTTATAAATGCTAGTTCCTTTTTAGCCATTTCAGTCTCTTAGTGAGTACCTCCAGTATCTTACTCTACTTTATGCTCTTCTTAACCGATTTTCTCTACTCCTTTCTATTTTTTTAGTATTAAAAGTTAGGTGATCACATACTTTAATCAAATCTAGTTGGTTAGTTTTTTCGACAACCATTTTATGGATGGCATCATATTTAAATCTGAGCTTCTTTAAAGCATTAGATACTTCCTTTTTCTCCTCATCTCCTGCTTCCTATAGTTTTAATTCGAATGATAGTTCTTAAATAAGAATGTAATCTTACCCAAGATGGAATAAAGTTGTTTGGTTCAAGCAGAGTACTCTGTTCTACATACGCTTGTGTCTCATCAAGTCCATATTTCCTCATCATTATACTTCTATTCAAATTCTTAGAGCCACTTTTCTACATCATGATTGAAACTCATTTAAAACTGCTTACTTGAGAGGATTTAGCTCTATTCGTTCTTCGGGACATCATCTTTTATATATTTGAACTCTAAAAACGTTATAATTATAATTTATTATTTTCATAATTCAAATAAAATACGTTCTCAGGGGTTTTGGGGTTTTGGGG